CTAGGAATTGGCACATGCGCATCTCCTACGTGTTCCAAGATAAAAAAAAAAAAAAAAAAAAAAAAAAAAACAGCCCCATCAGTGAGAGCGGAAACAAAAAGACGCCATGCCCAAATGAGGTCCATTGACAAAAGGTAACGAGCATGCGAGGATCAGCTTGGGCTAACATGCGGGCACCAAACGCACCAAACACAAGTATTCAACCATCGATAGGTCAAGGCGATGTTGACGATTGTAATGCAAGAGAGCAGCCGGGAAAATGCGATCGCGCAAGTGTGCCTGCCACTGTCCGTTCAAGCTGTGGCGCACGAGTCGTCGAAATTGAAATTCTTCCGGATCCATCGCATGGCGGTCCGACCCGGTCTCGATACTTGGCAGCTTGGGCGGGATCTTGGTGGCAGGTGTCAAAGGGCGCAAGGTTGGGGCCATCCATGGCTCTGCCAAATCAAGGCTACGGGATAAGCCTGGGGTGGAGGACCGGGATGACTGGTGCGAGCCCTCGGCCGCAGGCTCGGGAGAGCTCATCCCATTCCGTGGTGGCAGGGGTGGAGGCCCGGCAGGGGCAGACATTGGCCGACGTTGTTGTTGTTGTTGTTGTTGCTGCTGCTGCTGCTGCTGTTGTTGATGTATCAGGCGAAGCTTATCAGAAAGGGGTAGACTGCTGCCGGTGCTGGCAGCAGAGGTGGAAGAGGATCCTGTCAGATTGTGAGACGCGGGTGGTGATCGGGTTGATAGCATACGGACAGCCCCCTCTGTCATCGTGGCAGCCCGCGCGCGCGCAGCCATCCACGCAGGATCATGGACTCGCGTGACCCGAGGTTGTGCGCTTGCTGGCTGTTCTGGTGAATACAACGGGGACGCCATGATGGCGCCACTGGGTGCCGAGGCCATCATAGTGGCGGAACGACTTCGAGATATGGGTGCTTGATGTGCTGCAGGACGGGCCAGCGTGGCGCTTCGCCCACGGCTAGCCATATCGTTGTGATGGATTGCAGGCTCACCTCCCGTGGCCGTCTCCATGTGGTGGCGGGCCGGGGCATCGGTACTCGTGGTGCTCTGCATCAAAGCTGCATCAGAGAGCGTCACCGCTCGTGCTCGCGATTGAGGACTTGCTTTATTCATGCTAGGGCGAGTTTGATCCCCCTCGCGCTTCGATGGACGGCTCGAGGTCGCCATCAGTTCCTCAAAGGGGTTAAATGAGGCGGAATTCGGCTGCGGTTGCGACCGTGGTAGCGTTGGCTGGGCGTTGCTTCTTGAAACGGACTCTATCGAGTCTGGGGCTGAGGCCGTGTATGCCGGCGGTGGGGCATCAGTATGGGCAGAGGAGGATGTGGCGGGTACGTAGGGCGGTGGCATGGTTGGTGGGATCTCATGGGCCCTGTTAGGCGCCGATTGTGGCTCCTGGGGTCGGGCGGCTCTCGCCAGTTTAGGGCTCGAGGGAGCCACGGCGTGCGAGGTTTGGTGGC